TTACTTTTGTTTATCTAACTCCCTCACAACTAGTTAGATTGTTATCACAGCGTGTTACTTTTGTTTATCTAACTCCCTCACAACTAGTTAGATTGTTATCACAGCGTGTTACTATTGTTTATCCAACTCCCCCACAACTAGATAGATTGATATCACAGCGTCTTACTGTTGTTTATATAACTCCCCCACATATAGTTAGATTGATATCCCAGCGTGTTACTGTTGTTCGTCTAACTCCTCCACTGTTTGTTAGATTTATCTAACTCCTCCACTGAATGTTAGATTTATCTTACTCCTCCACTGATTAGTTAGCTTGTCTAACTACCCCACAACTAGTTGGATTGATATCACAGCGTGTTATTATTGTTTATCTAACTCCCTCACAACTAGTTAGATTGTTATCACAGCGTGTTACTATTGTTTATCCAACTCCCCCACAACTAGTTAGATTGTTATCACAGCGTGTTACTGTTGTTTATCTAACTCCCCCACAATTAGTTAGGTTGATAGCACAGCGTGTTAATATTGTTTATCTAACTCCCCCACTGCGTGTTAGATTGATATCACAGCGTGTTATTATTGTTTATCTAACTCCCCCACAACTATGAAGATTGATAGCACAGTGTGTTATTGTTGTTTAACTAACTCCCCCACAACTAGTTAGATTGATAGCACAGCGTGTTACTGTTGTTCGTCTAACTCCCCCACAACTATTTAGAATGATAGCACAGCGTGTTAATATTGTTTATCTAACTCCCCACAAGTAGTTAAATTGATACCACATCGTGTTAATAGTGTTTATCTAACTCCCCACAAGTAGTTAGATTGATAGCACAGCGTGTTATTGTTGTTTATCTAACTCCCCCACAACTAGTTAGATTGATAGCACAGCGTGTTACTGTTGTTCGTCTAACTCCCCCACTGCTTGTTAGATTGATATCACAGCGTGTTATTATTGTTTATCTAACTCCCCCACAACTAGTTAGATTGCTAGCACAGCGTGTTACGGTTGTTTATCTAACTCCCCCACAACTAGTAGGATTGATAGCACAGCGTGTTACTGTTGTTTATCTAACTCCCCCACAACTAGTTAGATTGATATCACTACCCCACAACTAGTTGGATTGATAACACAGCGTGTTACTGTTGTTTATCTCTCCTCCACTGCTTGTTAGATTTATCTAACTCCTCCACTGATTGTTAGATTTATCTGACTCCTCCACTGATTGTTAGATTGTCTAACTACCCCACAACTAGTTGGATTGATAACACAGCGTGTTACTGTTGTTCGTCTAACTCCTCCACTGTTTGTTAGATTTATCTAACTCCTCCACTGATTGTTAGATTTATCTGACTCCTCCACTGATTGTTAGATTGTCTAACTACCCCACAACTAGTTGGATTGATAACACAGCGTGTTACTGTTGTTCGTCTAACTCCCCCACAACTATATAGAATGATGGCACAGGGTGTTAATATTGTTTATCTAACTCCCCCACTGCGTGTTAGATTGATATCACAGCGTGTTATTATTGTTTATCTAACTCCCCCACATGTAGTTAGATTGATAGCACAGCATGTTACTGTTGTTTAACTAACTCCCCCACAACTAGTTAGATTGCTAGCACAGCGTGTTACGGTTGTTTATCTAACTCCCCCGCAACTAGTAGGATTGATAGCACAGCGTGTGACTGTTGTTTATCTAACTCCCCCACAACTAGTAAGATTGATATCACAGCGTGTTACTGTTGTTTATATAACTCCCCCACAAATAGTTAGATTGATATCACAGCGTATTACTGTTGTTTATCTAACTCCCCCACATGTAGGTAGATTGATAGCACAGCGTGTTATTATTGTTTATCTAACTCCCCCACATGTAGTTATATTGATAGCACAGCATGTTACTTTAATTAGTCTGACACCCTCACAGCTAGTTTGCTAGCACAGCGTGTTACTGTTGTTCGTCTAACTCCTCCACTGTTTGTTAGATTTATCTAACTCCTCCACTGATTGTTAGATTTATCTGACTCCTCCACTGATTGTTAGATTGTCTAACTACCCCACAACTAGTTGGATTGATAACACAGCGTGTTACTGTTGTTAATCTATCTCCCCCACAACTAGTTAGATTGATAGCACAGCGTGTTACTGTTGTTCGTCTAACTCCTCACTGTTTGTTAGATTGATAGCACAGCATGTTACTTTAATTAGTCTGACACGCTCACAGCTAGTTTGATAGCACAGCGTGTTACTGTTGTTTTTCTAACTCCCCCACATGTAGTTAGATTGATAGAACAGCATGTTACTTTAATTCGTCTGACACCCTCACAGCTAGTTTGCTAGCACAGCGTGTTACTGTTGTTCGTCTAACTCCCCCACAACTATATAGAATGATGGCACAGGGTGTTAATATTGTTTATCTAACTCCCCCACTGCGTGTTAGATTGATATCACAGCGTGTTACTGCTGTTTATCTAACTCCCCCACAACTAGTAAGATTGATATCACAGCGTGTTACTGCTGTTTATCTAACTCCCCCACAACTATGAAGATTGATAGCACAGTGTGTTATTGTTGTTTAACTAACTCCCCCACAACTAGTTAGATTGCTAGCACAGCGTGTTACGGTTGTTTATCTAACTCCCCCGCAACTAGTAGGATTGATAGCACAGCGTGTTACTGTTGTTTTTCTAACTCCCCCACATGTAGTTAGATTGATAGCACAGCATGTTACTGTTGTTTAACTAACTCCCCCACAACTAGTTAGATTGATATCCCAGCGTGTTACTGTTGTTTATCTAACTCACCCCCAGCTAGTTAGATTGATATCACAGCGTATTACTGTTGTTTATCTAACTCCCCCACATATAGTTAGATTGATATCACAGCGTGTTATTATTGTTTATCTAACTCCCCCACATGTAGGTAGATTGATAGCACAGCGTGTTATTGTTGTTTATCTAACTCCCCCACAATTAGTTAGATTGATATCACAGCGTGTTACTGCTGTTTATCTAACTCCCCCACATATAGTTAGATTGATATCACAGCGTGTTATTATTGTTTATCTAACTCCCCCACATGTAGTTATATTGATAGCACAGCATGTTACTTTAATTAGTCTGACACCCTCACAGCTAGTTTGATAGCACAGCGTGTTACTGTTGTTCGTCTAACTCCCCCAGTAGTTAGATTGATAACACAGCGTGTCACTGTTGTTTGTCCAACTCCCCATCATATAATCAGGTTAATTACAAATTATCAACGTATGTACGTTTATGTTGGAATATATAACACTAATTAACACTATCTCGTTATATATCCACCGGTATACACAGTGTGTAGTGAAGTGGAGCCTTTCCAATATTGACATTGATAAACCCAGTATAAAGTAAAAACTAACTATCACAATATAGAGCCTATATCGAGGAATGATAAACCCAGTATAAAGTAAAAAATAACTATCACAATATAGAACCTATATCGAGGAATGATAAGCCCAGTATTAAGTAAAAAATAACTATCACAATATAGAGCCTATACCGAGGAATGATAAGCCCCGTATTCAGTAATGAAGTACTACATTGTGGAGCCTACAACAAGTATTGATAAATTTTAACCAAGGACTATAGAAATGTTAATTATAATAGTACTTTTAGTAAATACTTAACGACAGGAAGTAACTTTAGTCAGGTAAAGTGAAACATCTGTCAGCTGGCCGACACATGCATAGAAATGTGTCATTTTTTGACATAATCCTATAAAACTCTGCATGGTTTTGTTCGATACATTTCGTGCAGCTTATGTGCTCTGACTCAACGGTGTGGGAACCATGGGAGGAACTACTGATTAGATGAGTTGAAGTTTGATAGTAGTTAGGGCGTGCTGGATAGTCTTTACGTGTATCACAAGTATTCACTGCGAGGTCTACAGTTATTATGCAATGTTTACATTTATTTCAATATGACGTGTAAGCACACCTAATATTACAATATAATTCATGAGAGCTTAATGATACCACGAAGTCAAAAGATATTTGTCTAGGCTATATATGTGTGTGTGATTTGTGAGAGTGCTGATTTCATTTAACTATGTAAGGGTGTGCACGCGCAACTTTTACTTACGTAATGGTAGTATGTATACTTTATATATACAGGTAAATGTTGTTTAAAAATACGTTGATAAGCGTGCTTTTTTTTCTACCGTCAACGTGACGAGAGACCGTTTAATGTATTACATAGATTATATGTGTCAGTCTGAAATAACATGTACGTAAGGCAGGCCAACCTATACTTCAAAAAAAATAGTCACAGAGGTCTGCTAGCTCCGGCGGTTACAAGGAAGTCGTTTTGATTGGCTTAGAACGTCCCAATCATATATCCGTTTTCCGGGAGCACAATGTGGCTATGACCTCGTCAAAATACCTGTACGGTTGAACGTTCAGCTTCCTGCTGGCTGATAGCTGGCTGGCTGTATGTGTGGATTCATAGTCTACAACAGTTAGCTTCGATTCGCTTTATGTTCAATAAATTAAATGATTTTCAGTTTTGTTTTTAATCTATAGCACTTGGTCATTTTAGTGTGGGTGATTTAACCACATATGGCATGTTTGACGAGCAGGTATTGATTTAAGAAGCTGACAAATCTTTATTGATAAATAACCGAGTGAATTGTCACTGTGTAGTACGGATATAGGTGTACGCTTTAGAAACGTAGATAATTACGCTTTGTACGGATATTGATCCTATAAACATAACAGTTGCGCGTCTCGGTGTTATTTGAAGAGAATTTCTCATTACAAAAATAAAATATGATAGTTTGGTGGATAATTGTTCACTCAGATCAAATACTTGATTACATATGGTCGAACCACTTGAATATCGGTAAGTAAGTAACCGTCAGCCAACTTGTAAATAAAAAAATACTGCAATTCCGGTATGTGTTTGTCATGAAAAACACTTTTGCACAAAAATTTAAATATAAGTATTTTGCATGTGCAAGGGAAGTGTACTTAAATGTGATTTAATTGTGACTGCAATGTATGTATGTGTGTGTACGTGTGTAAATGAGCTCCGTGAGTGTACAGGCACCGTGGAGAGACAATAGAGAGATCACACGCCCCTACGTACAATGGTCGGATGTCTTATATAAGTGGCCGTAACCACCGTCTGCTGGACGCTTCCACACAGGTTAGTGGCTCCACACATTTATCCAACACTTAATCATTCCTATCGTATTCTAGTCGATATTGCTCCGGGTGGACTGTGATAGAAAATGTATGGTAGTCTTAACAAGTTGTTTTATAAATACTTAAACATTAAATGCATTTTAATATCGTTAATGCACAATCATTCCGAAATCTATTATGTGATTATATTTTAGAAAATATGGAATACCTGTTGTGTATGTGATTGTGATAAATGCGTTTTAGTTTTACTGTGTGATTTGTATCAATAGCTCAGCACAGGTTTTTCCAGATCACATACACCTTTTATATAAGAGCATAAACTAAAAAGCTTTGTCTGTTTAGCCCTCACCTGTCACAATGTTAACTATCAAGATATTGTCGGATAAAGATTATCCTGACATTTTTCTCTTGACTTTCTAAAGAAGTTTCTGACCGTTTGGCCTTACACAGTTATTGTTCCGAACACTAAATACCCTGAACCTACACGCCAGCATACATCCACCTGACCATATAACGATTGTCGTACAGATAAAGGATTGCCGATTGCTATAGAATAAAAGATACCATCCTACCAGTTCGATTTAAATATAAACTGAAAGCTCGACAAAATTGCTCAACATTCCTAAATCTATCATGTATCAGAAAGGTAAAGAAGGAAGTGTCAGATCTCCACAGGTCATTACACAAAACACTAGTCTATCAATAATAACGACATATGTATTTATACCACAGCTAGTTGGCTGGTAGATCATATGAAGGGTTCTTAATAATAATGGAGACTTTATTGTGTTGTTAATGGCATTTATTAATGACGTATCAATCAAGTTCAATCTTTATCATATATCACAATATTTAATTCAAAACCACGGAATAACTTTTAAAATATTGTTATAAATGTTTTGATGGTTGATAATCATGTTTATCTAAATCTCATTAGTTGATTTTCAAATTAACTGTCAAAGACACTAGGTAAAGCTCGTGTCTTTATACAATTTGAAGATTAATTTACTCGAGTTAGATAAACAGCCACCACTTGGTGGGGAACCTCTATATATCCATAGAATTGTTCATACATGATATGAAAATGCAATCGTTTTGGGCGTTCAAAAATTGTATCTAGTCAAATCTCAAATCCAATCAATGTCTTATTATGATATGATTAATTGTTCGAAAGGGATTATTTTTCATTGAAAATAAAATTGCAAAAGAGAGAGAAAAAAAAATAATTGCACCATCAACACTGCTGGGTATTGACGCCTCTGAAGACAATGGAGGGTCATCGTCCTCAGTGACTGGTCCAGAGGCTGAAGATTAGGCTTATGATTTGACAACCAATGATCGCTCGCTAATTTTAGACATCTGACCAACGATGGTCAGTACTTGGCCTGGGAATTTTCCATCGGTCCTGTACCACAATATAATATAACTGCTGTAGACTCGTCTATACATGACCATGACAAAAAGGTGAAACGTCAAAGCCTGACATGAAATTATTTATATGTAAGGGTACTAAATAAATGTCATTGATTTCGGTACAGTAAATACACAGTTGCTCGTAACTATAATAATGCTGATATGACGGGAGGAATTAACACCCATTTCTTTGTACGCGTTATGTTTGCAAACAATGAATATTTCTCCATGCATTTACAAAAATAACAATAGAATGTTTAGTTACTATTCACCTGTTCCGTCACTTGAATGATAACGTAGCTACAATTATATTACGAAAGGGAGTAATGTAACATATTTCCTGTAAACATAATAAGTGATAAATAAGTTAAACGATACACAGAGCCACGAGTCCTGTGGACAGTAACATAAAGCAATCCCTCAGTTGTACACAAGTTTTAGGGTTAATGCTTGAATACTATATCTTAAATTTTAAATCACATTACAAATAATTAATTCTTAAAGACAAATATCATCAGAATGAAAGAAATTAATAATACATGACTAACGGATTTTTATTTCATTTTAAATAAGAAAATTCCTGTTATTGGAATTCACAATGTGTCAACAAATTGTTAATGTGTGTTTTATATAATAATTAATTCCCTTCTCATTTATTACAACTTGCAACTTAGAAAAGGTCATCGTCCATTATTGTCAGATACAAAACAAAAATATGTTATAAGTAAAAATTATAAATCCCTCAGTTGAAATAACTGGTAACTGGTTATGGTAACAGAAAAATTAACATCATACTCATACACGTGAAGGCATACCTGCAGTCCCTAAAAAGTGATATATAGAGAGAGACAGTATTTTCTGATGAAATGCCTGTGTTTATGGGTTATATTATGAACATTACTTTTATTTCTGTTTTTTTTTTTTTTTTTTTATATAATGTCAAAATTATCGGCTGCAGGGGCTAGAACTGTTTAGCATTTCAATGTTTTGAACTATTTTCTTGATATTATCAAAAATTAAAAAAAACTAGTCAATGGAAGTCAATTATGGAATATGTTGATCTGCCAAGAAATCTATCACGGTAAGCAGTAGATTTATTATGCAAACTTTTCGAACTTCATTTTAAAGACTGTTTTTTGGATTGTTTACTTTAATAGAGAAGTAATTAAATGTCTTTCCAGTTATGCCTAAGCTTGAAAATTTCATGTATTAATTGGAAGAAAATATGTTGACATTATTGAGATAACTTATGCCTTATCCCATTGTCAGTAATTGCCAAATGAAACATCATACAGTATGTAAAGTCAATTAATAGAAAACAACGTAGTGCATTTTACATTAGGCGACGACGAAAATCTGACACGGGTAAGATTTGCATGTCGATATGAAACTGTTTTTTGCAATATTTCCTAACCACTGTCAGCATTCACAACCTTGGTGTTGTATGGTGTGTAATACTTCGTGTAAGGTTGTGTATTTGAAGTGTGTTAATCCGATATGTATCAATTATTGTAAGCAAGTATATCTGTAGTTTGTTAGTTTGTATATATGTAGTGTGTTAGTTTGTATATCTGTAGTGTGTCTATGGGTGTCGTCTCACGTAGCCTACATTTGGTATTTTCCTATATACAGGTAAGGTGGTGGATGTATGCTAGGTGAGATTTGGAGTCAGTTAGAGAACAATAGGATTTAATTACAGGTAAACTATAGTCTGTACTATAAAGTGTCTTACCATGTGAATATGAACGTATATATAGGATTGATTTTTGGTGTACAATTTTATTTATTTATAAAATTGTTTCCACTTCATCTATTATAGTCTTCATCATAATAATAGGGAATATCAGATTAAATGTCCTAACTTTACATATTATAACTATACAATACAAAACAATTTGTTTTATTTAAGTGTCACATATCGATATACATTGAAACTACAGCAGATTTTACAAAAAGTAAAAGCTACATGTATTTCAAAATTTCAATCGATCAGTTATAGACATCCAGCCAAATCCGGCTTATGAGAAACTAAAAGTCATTATCACACCTTAAAATAAGTAAAATCACTAGCACTGTACAAAATTATATAAAGTTAAAACATAGGCGCCTGCGATACATATGATATATGAAGCAGCGTCTAAAGTCAATATTGTAAAGGTGTAACTGGACGAGAATACTTTCGACTTTAAACTTATTTTTTTTACACGACATTCCTAACTTCTCCGTTTTCCTTTTGACCACTTATGTATTTAATAGACTAGTATATCGTGAGCGGTTCCATTAATCCTTAACCAGAGCTACAGACCTCCACTTTCTGTTCCACGTCACAGGAACTCCAACCAAGATCGCCACTTGTTGCGACATTGGTCACATTTCTTCCGGTATCGAAGAAGTAGCGGCACGCTTTATTATTATTTCTCTGGTCAAGGTTGTAACATCCCTATACCATTGTTGAATAAATTGGTCATGTAAGCTTGTTTTCAATGAATGTTTCAAAAAAATATATAAGTTCAGCCCGAGTTACTAGTATTTCATTAATATAATGTAATCATTTAAAATGACAACGAAGGGTCATTTCACGTTAACTGTACATCATATTGTACACATTACTCCATTTTTTATGCAGTATATTAATAAACACATATTCAAATAAGTTTCATTAAAATATTAATACTCCGTCTATACCACATGCCTACGGTGCTATTAACCAACACTTTATGACGGTAAATTAAATTACTAGTGGTACAGTGATCGCTTTATACATAACCTGTGATGGTCAAGGAACACTTTGTACCTTACTAGTGGTACAGTGATCGTGTTATACATTACCTGTGATGGACAGGGAACACTTTGTACCTTACTAGTGGTACAAGGGTCGTGTTATACATTACCTGTGTTGGACAAGTAACACTTTGTACCTTACTAGTGGTACAGTGATCGCTTTATACATTACCTGTGATGGACAGGGAACACTTTGTACCTTACTAGTGGTACAGTGATCGCTTTATGCATTACCTGTGTTGGACAGGGAACACTTTGTACCTTACTAGTGGTACAGTGATCGCTTTGTACATTACTTGTGTTGGACAAGGAACACTTTTTACCTTACTAGTGGTACAGTGATCGCTTTATACATTACCTGTGATGGACAAGGAACACTTTGTACATTACTAGTGGTACAGTGAACGCTTTATACATTACCTGTGATGGACAGGGAACACTTTGTACCTTACTAGTGGTACAGTGAACGCTTTATACATTACCGGTGATGGACAAGGAACACTTTGTACCTTACTAGTGGTACAGTGAACGCTTTATACATTACCTGTGATGGACAGGGAACACTGTGTACCTTATTAGTGGTACAGTGATCGTGTTATACATTACCTGTGATGGACAGGGAACACTTTGTACCTTACTAGTGGTACAGTGATCGTTTTATACATAACCTGTGATGGACAGGGAACACTTTGTACCTTACTAGTGGTACAGTGGTCGCTTTATACATTACCTGTGTTGGACAGGTAACACTTTGTACCTTACTAGTGGTACAGTGATCATGTTATACATTACCTGTGTTGGACAGAA